GTAATTTCTGCTTATGGTCTTTTAGAGAAACAAACAGAATTATTATTTTGCAGAATTAGAAGTCCAGAGAAGAGTAGCCTTCAGGAGTGATACAACCAGCATCTCAAATACATCTTAAATGGTTTTCTACTTTGTTTGATGTCTTTAGTGTGTTGACTTCATTTTAAGGTCAATTCCTCTTGTGGTTGTTAGATTGCTGCCAGTGGCAATCTCTATTATGCGTGGACTCGTTGTACCTGGTAAGAGAGAATCCTCTTCCCTAAGCATGCACTAAAAATCCTTTCCTTCAGTCTGATTGGGCCAGGATACCCCAGGGCTATAATGGTTTTCAGGTATATTAGGATATACCTGAATTATTAGAATTAGAATTAGAATTGTCTAAGACCTAGTATAACCTAGATTCCAGGTCATACTGCAGTAAAAAACAACTCCAAATCTAGTGGTTTGAACAATAAAGGCATATTTTTTACTCATGTATCCATCTTGACCTGATGAGGATGGAAGGTAGGGTGTTGTTCCATGTTGTCCTCTTTTAGGCACGTAGGCTGAAAAGGCTGTATTATCTTCAATAATATTTGTTTTAAGACAGGGGAAAAGTAAACATTGTAAGAACTTATATTTGCAATTAAATTTTATAGCTGGAAGTGACATATATCACTTCTACCTACAACCTGCTATAGACTAGTGACTATAACTAGTCACATGGTTTGGCTAACTGCAAGGGTGGGTTTGAGTGGTAGGAATGCATGTGTGAAAATGTAGTATCTTTATATGCATGGAAAAAGAGGGTAAGCAAGTTTCTACCATACTAGGAAATTAATTTATTGATTGCCCTAGGCTAATTCCATTGCTCTTGTATAGCTAGAGATTGGATGGTTACCTAACAAACAAACAAAAATAACAACAACAAAAAGAACTCTATTAATGAGGAAGGAATAGGAGTGGATGTGAACAATGTGAACTATATGATGCTTTATCTCAATGAAGAAGACAGATTTCAGCCGTGGAGGAAAGTCATAGAAAGGGATAGTTTCATTAAGTCTTTAAATCGATCACTTCATTTACTCTTTTGATTGCAAAGATTGGATCTGCTCTTTAATGAGTGGGTGTAGATTGAATTTCTATTTAGGGAGTTGGTTCAAAGTGACTTAAAAACATTTACTGGATTTCAAAGTATAGACTATTTTTTCATATTTCATTGTTGCGGTTGCTGGCGAAAGTGTGTCAAGCTGGCTAGATTTATAGTTTTAAAACAGGCAAACAACTATCATTTCCCTAGACCACTCCCTTTATTTTACAGATAAGAAAACTAAGGGCCAAATGGGTAAAATGATTATCTCAAGGTCCACCTTTTTACATGTCATAAACAGTGCTGCCTTTTAAATGATTTCCTGCAAAAAGGAATCCTCTAAGTAGATGTATCTAGAGCAATACTTAGTCAATAAGGACAATTAAAGATTATTAAGAATGTTTCCACAACTGACATTCAGTTGGTCCACATTGGTAGGGATGGAAGCATTTCTAAACTATTTGGTAAGTAGCTGCTACTGAGAGCCTCTTTAACTCTTCTCTGTGATCTCACAAATTCCATTATAATTGCAGGATGTACCTCAAGGGTTGATTTGAGAATTAAATGATGGAGGGAAGAGTTTATCATAGCACCTGACACTCAGCAATATTACACTTAGGCTATTATTTTTATTATAGTCATTAATAAAATGGTAGCAGTAAACTTCAAACTTGTTCCTACATGAATGTTCACAACTTTGGAAACGTGATAATATTCAAGTTCATTAACTTTGATCTAACTAATCCCTCAATAAAATGGCCACTCCTGTAGTCACTTTAACTTTCATTTTCATCTTTTTCATTGTCTCATGGTTGACAACTCCTTGCCTTACCCGCAAGACCCCACAGCTCTGGTTGATGACTAAGAATTTGATGCAGGCTGTGTAAAAGAATACAATATACTGACAAGGTTCTACTGGTTCTTAGTATAATATGACATAAAGAACGTTTTGCACAATCTCTTGCTGAGCAGAAGTTACCTGTAAGTTTTCAGATAAGCAAAGATGGGTCTAAAACCTAGTTTGTGAAGGAAGGTTGGAGGAAGTGGTAGAGCACTTCTACTTGCTTGAGCAAATATCAGAAACTAGGAGTGATGATAAGCAGAGGCAGGCAGCTGGGGTGAGAAGAGAGAGTGAGAGGGCCCCAGGAGCAGCAGTGGGTGGTGGGGGTGGGTAAGCTGGAGCTTGTGGAGAAAACATCCTTTGACAAAGATGTCTTCTGGTGGCTAGTAATGCTTAGAACTTTTTGGAGGTATCTGGTCTCTCAGAAACTTAATCTAGCAAGGGAAAGGAAGAGTTTTAGTAATATTCCTCTCTGGAGGGAGTAAAAGAAATGTGTTTTTTAAAAGCTGGAACTGTTGTGGATTTTTTTGGGAAATTCATTATTGGTCTCAAACTCAGGGTGTAAAGATTTGTTCCGAAAGTCAGTTGTATAACTGATACTTCCAGTTCTGAGGTGGCAGTTCAATGTTGGGCATGTCCTGGAAAGGGCTTTGTTAACAGTGTTCCATCATAGGGTGAGAAGCACATTGCTTCAACAGAGCACAATCAGAGGTGCTAGAGAACTAGTTTCTGAGTATATTCTAGAGACACAAGTTATTTGGCCTTTTAATATGTAATATACCATCCTATCAAAATGCACTAAGTTTTGGACAAACATTCCTAGGAAAAATTTTTTTTTAAGCAGAAGGAGGTAGAGAAGATAGGTATTTTTTTTAATTTTTAAAAGATTTTATTTTATAAGTTTGTTTTTGAGAGAGAGAGATAAGGGCAGAGAGAGAGAGAGAGAGAGAGAGAATCCCAAGCAGGCTCTGTGCCAGGAGTGTGAACTCCGATGTGGGGCTTGAACTCACAGTGAGATCATAACCTGAGCCGAAATCCAGAGTTGGATGCTTAACCAACTGAGCCATCCAGGCACCCCAAAAGATTTTATTTTTAGGTAATCCCTGCACCCAAGATGGGGCTCAAAACTTACAACCTTGAGATCAAGGGTTATATGCTCCACTGACTGAGCCAGCCAGATGCCCTGAGAAGATACATATTTTAAATCCACATTTTTGGAAAGGAAAAATGAAGGCCAGATAGAAAACTGGATGTCTTGAGGCAATTGTAAAGTAAAGCTTTGAACTAGGAGATGTTAAGGTATTATATAAGGGAGCTTTAAAGTTAAACATGCTGACTATAATTTTTTTTAAATGCTGTTTAAACTAAGAAGTAAGTACCTATCTCACCTCTGACTTCAAAAAAGTATCTAGAGTATGACTTATAAGACTTCAGCCTTTACCTCATCTTACTTTTTACTTTGGCATAAACCTAAACTTTCTGTTCATTTCCAACTACCAAAGCTTGTGGCCCTTAGAGCAGACTTCTGTTCTGTTTGTAAGCTTGGTTCAGAAGCCTGTTTAGTGGAGGACAGCAACCATGCATTCAATAAAAGATTGTTGAATATGGGCACACAAGCTCTCTGAACTAGAACATAATTCTGGTTATGCCGATATATTTTTTTTGTGTGTGACTTGACATAGGTCAACCTACTTTTCCCTTAGTTTTCTCTTCTTACAGGGAGATAACAGTCCTTAAAACGACTGTAAACTACTTTGCTGAGAGCTTTTTCGTTAAAGGACTGACGATAAATACCAGAGTCACAAGGTCGAGCAAATCCAAGACGCTGAGCTTCCTGAAGGCAAGGGACTTTTTTTTTCCTTCTTTGAAAATCAGCAGTTATCTTGTTTTTCTGTAACACAGTTCCTGGCCTATAAAAAGGTCTCAATAAATACTGTAAATTTATGAATGTTATTAGGCAGATTGCAGTCTTGGCAGACCAGCGCCTTGTAAATCTCTTTTCCGTGATCTTTTTCATACTCAGCATCTAAAACGCCGCCGCTATTTGTTCCGGGATAAGCACCTAAGCAAGGCGCTTAGAAACACCCAAGTCTAGAGAAATAATTTTTCTGTCCTCAGGGCACCATCTCGCCTTCCACGGTACTGCGCTCCAGGCTTGGGATCTGGGTCCGGAGGCTACAGGGAAGAGTTGGGAACGGGAAGCTCATGCTCCGGCCGTCTGATTGGTCGGCTCGCACTCCACTCACATGGCTCGCGTCTTTGATTGGACACCATGGCACCCCCTCCCTCGGCCCGCGACTACTTTGTGTGCCGGGGCTGCGCGCTTAGGTCCTCCGGTTCAGCTCTCCGTCTGGGCTGGTCTGACCTAGCTCTTCGGCCCACTGCTCTGCATCGCGAGCGCCAGGAATTTCCCGGGTGCGTGCGGGTAGGAAGCATCCTAGGGAACCCCTCCTCCCCAAAGTTCTCTTTCCCGTTCTGAATAAACTTCCGCCTCAAAGGGGCTGTCGCAGCAGCGGGTCGGGGGAGAGGCTAGGCATCAAACTCAGGTCCTTGTGGGAGGTCTTTCTGTCGGGGCAAATGTGGAAACAGTTCCCACAAGAAAAAAACTGGGCTCCGCTAGTTGCATGTGGGTGCAATGCCATTCTGTGGTCACGCCGCTAGCTGCAGCCGAACGGCCAGACCCGGGCTGCAGGGGCGGAGCAGCAACGATCACCCCTAAGAAGTAGCAAGGAGCCTGCTTCAGTACTAGTGCTTCTTAGGGCCGCGGGCTGAACGGGCATGGGCCAGTCCGTACCTCGACGATCGAGGATACGGCATTCCCGGGAGATGGCGCTCCCGGGAGTGGGGAGTTCGGCTCGACTCGCCCCCAGCAGCCTCCGGCCTGCAGGCGGTAGAGGGCGGCCTAGGCTTGTGTTGCAGCCGGCGCCCTAGCGCAGCTGCTGCCCTGCTGGAAGTCTCCCGGTCCCTCTGTGGCCCGCGGCTCCGCCTGGCAGCGGATGCTGCAGCTACGCTATCCACGGCTCACCGAGAAGGGGGCGGGAAGAAGCCGTGGCACATGCCAGGGTCGCCGTAGGTGGCAGCGACCGGCGCATGCGCGCCCTCTCCCAGAAGCCTGTAACGCTGAGGGGCGCGCGCCCCCACCCGCGCGCGCACGCTCGCGCTAGCCAAGGGTTCCCCGCCTGCGCTCGTTGTCAGAGGCGCTCCGGCGCGTGCGCGCGTTATCTCCGGCGGACCCGAGTAGCCAGGTTCCCTCAGCTCCAGGCCCCCGCCCCACACCGCCCCCCCTCTTAGCCCCTAGCCCACCCGTCCCCTTCCTCTCCTCGCGGAATGGGGCTGGCGCTGCTCGGGGTCGCGCGCCCGGGACCCGGCTCGCGCTCGGTCTCGCGCTGTCAGCGACTGCCCCGCTCGCGCCGCCTCGCGCTCTCGCTCAGTCAGTGGCGCCGAAGGCTCCGTTAAGCAGCGGCGGCGGCGGTTCCTGTTTCCGTTTCTTGGTCTCCCTTCAGTCGGGAGTAGCATCCTCCACCCAGCCACCCCTCCCACTCCCCAACGGGGCAGCTGCAGCTGAGGGCTGTGGCGGCGGCGGTGGCGGCGGCAACTGGAGACGGCGGAGACCGCCTCTGCTCCCGCCTCGGGTAAGGGGGCGTTGGGAGCCGGGCCCCGCGCGCCTCGGGGTCTGGGGCTGGGCTAGCGCGGGATTCGAGGAGGCGCCGGGGATGCGACTCGAGGCTGTCGCCGCTCTTTTCCTCCAGGCGTTCCCCGGGCCTGTTGCTGCAACTGCTGCCGCTTACCCAGCGGCTCCTGGAAAAGTGGGGAGTAAGCCCCCGGGACGCTCCGGCGCGGCCCGGGGGCACGGGCTGAGGGTGAGGGGCGCCTGCCGCCGCCGATGTCCTCGGCGTCGCGCATCCCTGCTTCGGGCAGTGGCCGAAGCCGTAGAGAGGAGAAGGGATGATGGGGGCGGGGGTGGGAGGTGTCCCTCTTCTCTCCTCTCCACCTACCTGCCCTTTCGCCAGCAACTCGGTCCCTGTAGTCACGGACTGTGGAGAGGAGGATGCTTGTACGTTTCGGGCTTTCGTGGGGGATCCTCGGGCCAGAAATCCGGGAGGAGACCCGTACAAGGATCCGCTCCCGGCGAGGGGCCAATGCCAGGGCAGTTAAAGGCGTGAGTGCCACTGCATTCCCCAATTGATGTGGCAATGATGAGCTGGCGGCTTTTGAGTATCAAAACTTATTTGGGAAGGTTAAATGAGCCTTTATTTATTAAAGGAGATTCGTCCTGCAAGAGTGAGTGGGTTGTCGGGTGCAGCACCTGTTCTTTTACTGTGGGGATTGCAATCTTCAGCCACACAGAACGTCAGAGACGCAGTGTATTTCTTAAGTTAAATGGCAATGACTTGGTTAAGGTTTATCCCTGGCGAGCTTTTAGCGTTTGGCCGTGTATTATTAGACTTTTGATTTGAGGCCTTGAAGAAAGGCATGAAGAGATGTTTTCTTCTATCCATGTTTGAATTAATTTACAGTTGATTTAAGCCAACTCAAGAAGGTGAACCTAGGCAAGTGAGAATCTTAAGTAATAGCCCCAAACCTCAAGGTAACGAAGAACAAATTTCAACAAAAGTTTTCTGTCAGTTTAGAATTAGGTTTATCACGGGTAACTGACTGAACTTTGACTTGGCAGTCTTTAGAAACTGTAGGCAAGGTTTCATGATAGTTTTTTTTTTCTTTTCTTGTTACTCCTGCGGTTGAGGGTATATTTATTTTCTTGATTAAATTTAAATTTCATGTTTTTATGCATAATCCTTTTAAAGGGTGCATTATGTAGAAAACATTTTAGGAGAGAAATTAAACGTAACAGTGCTATGCTGAAATAAGAGTAAGTTGTATTTTCTCTTCTTTGAAATAACCTAAAAAAACCACTCCACTACACGTATGCTAAATGATAAGGTCTTGTACATTGCTAGCCTTAGGAAATATACCATAAAATGTGCATAGAAAGTCTTAATTGCTTGATTTGTAAATACAGTATTAGGGTAGTAAGGATAAGGTGGGCATTCGAACATTTGAATTTGTGATTTTACATTTTAGTATGTAGAAATGTAGGGAGTTAGGAATGAATAGGCTGTAAGGAACGTAGACGGTGGTTTGGAGACATGGATTTTCCTTTTGCTGCTTTTATAAATTGAGAATTGTACTTGAAGAGCTGAACAGCTGAAATGATACCTGCATAGATTACAGAAACTTGCAAAAGTGTATCTTTGATCGAGTAGTGAGTTAACATGAGGAGTGTATTGTGGTTTATTAGGATAATGATTCAAAATAATTTCCATAAAATATAGCACTATATAGATTGTTTAGGATGTTCTTATATTTCAAGAGTCACTCGAAGTTATTTTCCTACAGGTCCGTTTCTTTTTCTTTTTTTTTTGAAATATATGGAATTAAAAAAATATGATTACATTATCCAATGTTTGGTTCAATTTTAATAAGTTATTTTTAAGGTAGTGGAATTTCCTTAAAAGTGGTGAATTTTCAAATTTGCTAGTGGTTTGGAAAAACTTGTGTTGTTTATTTTTTTTAAGTACAGTTATATTAGTAGGTTGGTCTGGAGGGGGAGCTAGTGCCAAAGCAAAGAGGCATAGCTTAATATGTGTTAGAACTTTTAAAATGCCCAAACCCAGATTTTTATGACCCGAAGGAATATAAATTTTTAATTAAAAGAGTAAGGGAATTGATATGGGCATGTATCTGTACATAGTAATTTGTGGAGTGTGTGTGTGTGTGTGTGTGTGTGTGTGTGTAGTATTACAAATTAGCTAAATCTTTTCATGATCTGAAATAATGGAAAGTATATGCTTAAGGCTTATTGAATTTCTCATTTAAAATCTCAGAAAATATGCCCCATAACGTAGAATGTATGATAGTAAGTTTCTTAATCTTGTGCATTGCATCAGAAGGGAAGTTTATCCTTTGTGCAGGTTGTATGTTCTTAAATTTTTTCTTTATAATATCTATAGTCCTAAAATTTCAAAAATCAAGTAGAGTCCTATATGGGCAAAGATATTGACTGAGTAGTTAGTAAGCTAAATATTTATCAAGAGTAGAGATGCTTTCATTAAGAAATGGACCCTTCAGACATCTGGAAAGCAGGATCCCAAGGTCACTTCTTAATCTCTGTCTCCTGTAATATAATGCAGTGAGTCCAGCCGGTTTACTAAATTGAACTTGTGCCTTTGACTATAATGCAATTATTTTTTGGTCTATGGTGCTTTATTTAGATTTCACAACTGTAATTATTTAGATATATTAATTTACCTTTCACAGTTCACGTATTCTTCAAATTCAAGGCTAGAAATTGATAATGTATATATTAGAATCATTAGAATATTTTGTTTTCTGAAAATAGTGGTTGGGCTGTTTGTTTTCTATTGCTTTCTATTATGTAAATTGAATCTCAGTGCTGATAAAATAAAAAATAGATTCTTTGAAAGGAATGGCCATACCTGTGAGATGTAGAACATTGAGTGTTTACTATTTTTAAGGGGTTTATGCTATAAATTAAACAATGTTTTTATAAGACATGGCAGAATATTTTTATGTATATTTTTCCAGTTCTTAAATGGTTATTTTTGATTTACTATAAACTGCATTACTAAATCTCATGGTTTAATTAAATAGTAAATACACACATTTCATATAGAACATTTATAAAAGAGTTTCCATTTTCTAATCATAAGAATAAATATAAAAATGTAATTTTATTAAACTTAAAAATAAAGAACAACTAAGATTCTAAACATTTCTGCAACTATAATATTAATATTAATACATGCATCAGTACTGGTACTGTTGGTACTCCTCAGATGAGATACCAACTTCCAGGCTTCCCTGGTAAATAGTAGCGTAGTAGGTGTAGCCTTTAAAGGACCAGTAGAAGATTTCCTTTGGTTCCCTTCTTAATGAGTCTGTGCCGTATATTTCTGTACCATATTGCATATAGTTTCTTTTTGGCAGTTTGAGTTGTTATTAAATTGTAGTTTGCTATACTAAGACACACATGCTTAAAAGTAAAAGATAACTTACAATCAATTTGAAAAAAACATTTTAAAATTCTCAACGGAAGACTATTATATGGGGATGAATATGCATTTAAGATACATTTTTAAGGAATTAGTCTCGTCTCAACATTCCTTTCTCTGTATTCTATTCTCTAGTCTACATCCCCTCTTACTCAGCCTCCCTCCATAGCCCACAGTTTTCTGTTTGAAATAATTAGGGATCAAACCAATAAAATGAATGATATCATTCACTTGGCATAGGTTTATTCTTCCTTGATTAAATAAATGACTTTATATCAATCTCTACAGTATTCTAAACATGTAACCCATATAAATATTACTTTTTATTAAAAATTATTTTTAATGTTTATTTTTGAGAGAAACAGAGACAGAGCAAGCAGGGGAGGACAGAGAAACAGGGAGACACAGAATCAGAAGCAGGCTCTGAAGTTGAGCTGTCTGAACAGAGCCGGTTGCAGGGCTTGAACCTACAAACCATGAGATTATGACCTGAGCCAAAGTCAGAACTTAACTGACTGAGCCATGCGGCTGTACATTTTATGAGGCTGTACTTTTTTTTTTTTTTTTGAGAGACGGGCACAAGTGAGTGGACAGAGAAAGAGAGATAAAGAGAGAAGCGGGGCTCATCCAAAGCTGGGCTCGTGTTTACCTGAAGTGGGGCTTGTGCTCACCTGAAGCAGGGCTCAGGCTCACCTGAAGTGGGGCTTGTGCTCACCCCATGAGGGGCTGGTGCTCTCCCAAAGTGGGGTTCTAGCTCACAAACTGTGAGATTATGACCTGAGCAGAAATTGAGCTACCCAGGCGCCCACGAACCGGGAGATCATGACCGGAGCCAAAGTCGGATGCTTAACTGACTGAGCCACCCAGGCTCCCCGCATTTTGCTTTTAATGGAAGAAGAGCACACAGGGCTTATGAGATCCTGCTATATGTCTTTCAGTATAAGTTACTCATATTTGTTTCAGAAAGCAGAGCTATGTGGTTAATTTCATTTAAGTTTTTTTTTTAGAAATTAATTTTTTTAAAATGCTTATTTTTAAGAGAGAGCATGAGGGAGCATGAGCAGGGGAGAGGCAGAGAGCACCGTTCAACGGACTGAGCCACCCAGATATCTCTCACTTAAGTTTTCTTTTAAAAAGAGTTTATTTACTAAAACCTAATACCTCACTCATCTACTACTTTTTAAAAATATCTGTGGGGTGTCTGGGTGGCTCAGTCAGTTAAGTGGCCTACTTTGGCTCAGGTCATGATCTCATTGTTCCTGAATTCAAGTAATGCATTGGGTTCTGCATTGACAGTGCGGAGCCTGCTTGGGATTCCCTCTCTCTCTCTCTCTCTCTCTCTCTCTCTCTCTGTCTCTCTCTCTCACTCTTTCTGCCTCTTTCCCACTTGGATGCTCTCTCTTTCTCTTTCTCAAAATAAGAAAGTAAACTTAAAAAAAAATATATATCTTTTTGTGATAGATTTTTTTTTTTGTGGTCAGAAAATGACATGTGAAGAGGAAATATCTTTCAAGGTTTTTAAAAAAATTGACAAATTTTACCAATATAAGGCTAGTGCT